GCTGCCATGATTTTCCGATTCCTGCCCGTGAAGTTTGGCCTCGGCTGCAAGTACGCCGCGACGAGGGTGACATTACCGATGCTGAGGTGGAATACCATTGGGGAGACACCCACAAAGGTCGCGTCGCCCTGCTCGTCCTGCTTGCCCTTCCAGTGCTCCAACGAGGTGGCCTGGATATGCGTGCGCGTGGCGACCACCTCCCCAGCCGACAGACCTTTGTGCGACTTGCCACTGGGTACCGCGGGAGTGATCGCTGCCTTCCAACCTTCCTTTTGCAAGAACGTCTTCATGCCGAGCACATCTGCAGGCCCTTTGTGGGTCTCCACGAACGCGATGCAATCGAACTGCTTGCTGTTGGGACCCTCTACGTAGTTCTGCGCCTGCGGGCCCCACTCCGTGACGCTGCCGAAGAGAACCTGGAACAGGTCGCTCTGCTGCCGGTCGGGCTGAGGCTCGCTAAACTTGCGACTGGCCAGCACCAGTAGCAGCATTATTACCTTAATCATCTGCTTCGCGAGCCTTGCGCCTCTCTGCGCGGGCCTGCTCCAAAGCCGCTTGATTGGCCTTTCGGATATTCTGCTTCTCCTCCTCATGGTTGACGCTGCTCGTTCCACTGCTGCCAGGTGCCGTCGCCGCCGCCGTAGCCCCCGCCGCATCCGCGGCAGGGGGCTGCTCGTCGACTGCCTCCACCTTCGTGCCGTCTCCGCCTGCTGCCAGTACCTTCCGCTTCTTTTTTGGGGCTGCCAACGCCTTCTTAGCCTTCTCATGAATCTCTTCGATGTACTTGAACCTCGCCTGTAGCGTGCCGAGCTGTTCCTGCTGGAACTGCTCGAGCTCTTCTTTCCACTGCGTGATGCGGTCCATCTCGTCCTTGGGAATGTCGCACCCCTCGAGGCCTTCGAAGAGCGCGTCGTCGTACTCGAACTTGACCTTGAGGGTGCCGCTGCCGATCTTTTCCTCTGGCTTGACCACGTGGATGCCCGATTCTTGGTCGGCCTGTTGGAGGGCCAAGAGATGCCGCCGCTGCGCCTCGACTCGCTGCTGCACCAACTTCTCCATGTAGTCGTTCTGGTCGTCCAAGTACAGCTGTGCGTCCGTGAGCTTCTTCCTCTGCTTCCCGATGTGATCGAGATCCTTGAGCACACGATTGGCCTCGCCCAGGAGCTGCGCGCCCGTGCGCTGCTTGGGCGGTGCTGGGGCTGGCTTGGCGTTCTCCTCCTCCTCCTGGGCCTTGCGACGCAGAGTGTCCAAGGCGGCCGTGATGGTGGGGTCGGACTGGTCGCCGACGCCTTGGTATGCTGCCAAGCTCGCGACGAGGGAGACCGTGGTGAGCGGGTCGGGCTGCCCGACGTCGCACATCTGCTCCTCCGTGTTGTCCCAGCCTGCCGTGTCGCCGTTGTGGGTGGATCGTCTCCACGGTGCCCACTTCTTCCATGGCCGTCCCGAGTTTGACCAACCCGCAGAATGCTTGCCATTCTGCGCCCATGCTCCAGACGGTGGTGGTGGGGCGCCGATGGTGGGGAGGAGCCTTGCTTTGCACTTGAAGCACTCGGTCTTACTGCTCCAGTTCCACTTATACCCACACGCTTTGCACCCAATAGACCCCGCTGCTTTCCCATCGCCGTATCCCATGCTGCTCGAGCGGAGACGAGAGCGCTCACCTGCGGGCAGCAGGAAGCACGGGGTGAGTTGAACAAAACTGTCGGGCTTGGGAGCCCTGGCACTGGCCGCGGACTAGCGGCATCCGCTTGTTCCCCTGTGGAACAAACCATCTTGGGCCCAAATGGCTACGGAACAGAGAGGACGAGGAGGGGGAGGAGGACGAGGAGGAGGAGGGGGAGGAGGAGGAAGAGGAGGAGAGAAAGACGATGATGATGATGATGATGCTGATGGTGCTGATGATGATGATGGTGATGAGGAGGAGCAGGAACCCGCGCCTCCTCTCGTCGCAATCCGATCGCGAGGGGAAAATGCGCAGCCGACCCGTATCAGAAGGACGCGCGATGATGATGATGCACGGGCTCTGGGAGGGCACGTCGACGCTCTGCGGGCGGGGCGCGGCCAACGAGAGCGGCCGAAGGTAGGCCGAGGAGGCAAGGGTGCAACGGTGCCCTTTGGGAAGGTTGCCCATCCCTACTACGCGGGTTGAGTGCGCATCATTTTCAACGCCCTGGCGCCCTCACCGGGCCCAGGGGCGCTAACAAACATCCGTTCGGGATGCAAAAGTGGGCCCAGAAGAGCTGGCCCTTGGGGGCCCACGCTGCAAAACAAAAAGCCGCGTCGGAGGTCTCGGGGAGACGGGGGCCGAGCGACGAAGAGGACGGCGATAATGGGAGAGGGAGAAGGAGGGGGAGGCTGAGGAACAGGGGCAAATTAAACCCAAGGTGCTATCACGATGCTGCCACATACCCCCCCGTCCCAAGACCCGCCCTCTGAGTGCCTACAAGCGTTGCTGATCGTTGCGTGCAAAACCCTCGCGAAAGACGAGGCGTGCATGGCCCGACCGGCGACAGCCCCGCATTGGAAAAGAGCCCCCCCCCCCCCCGCCCATCTGCAAAACAAATCCACGACGTGGCCTCTACTTCGGACAAACGGCAAAGAAGAACCCCATCTGGAGGAGGAACCGTCCTCTACCCGCGTAGCCGTCGCATTATGTTGAGCGTGATTGCGGCAACGTCGCCGAGAAAACCTCGAGCAGGAGCCCTGTGCTGAATGAGGAACCTCCCCCCATCTTCGTTTTGGGTGCACGGTTTCCCCCGGGGCCGCAGGCAGGGCGAGGTGGAGGAGGAGGAGGAGGACAAGGACGGGGGAAGGGAGGGGAGGAGGAGGAGGAGGAGAAGGAGGAGGAGGAGGAGGGGGAGGAGGAGGAGGGGGAGGAGGGAGAAGGAGGAAGAAGGAGGGGTCTGAGGGGTCGGAGGGGCCCGATGAAGCGGGCGCACGTCTAGGACGCCCCCGCCGCGCAGGGCAGACGCAGATCCGATGCCCAGCAATCAAAACCGCCAGAGGCCCAGCCTACGCCAAGCTACTGGAGGGCGCCAGACCAATGCCTGGCACCCCAGAGCCAGAGAGCGCCGCGCGCGGGCCGATGCCAGCTCAGCGTCGCTCTGCGAGCCGCCCACCACGGCACCCCACTTGCGGGGCGCCTGGGCGAGCGCGGCCCTGAGCACGAAGTCCTTGATCGCCAGCAGCGTCGCGGCCTTGCCCTCGGGAGAGACGGCTGCCGCGAGCTGGTCACTGAGCTTCTCGCCCTCCAGGTGGCCCTCCAAAGAAATCTCGACGTCACCCCCCGCTGCTCCGAGGGACGAGAAGGCGGGGATGGCGGGCAGATCCTCTGAGAAGGCCTCGGCGCAGCCGCGCCCGAAGTCTACTTGGCCAACGCCAGTTCCCTCAGGCGCTTCGGGCGCACCAGGCCCGCCTGCTCGGATTGCTGGATGAGCGCGTTCACCCTGGTCTGCGCCTCCCCCGAGCCCGCTGGCGGGAGGGCAGGAGAACGGCGTTCAGATCCACCAGGTTGCCCCTGTCCGTCGCCAGCTTGAGGGCGCGCGCGTCGATGTCCTCCAGCGCGTTCTCCTCCTTTGCCTGTCGCCTCGCGCTGCGTTCCATCCCCGTTCTTCAACCCGTTCTTCTGCTGGGCCCTGTAGAGCAACGTGGTCTTGCGTGCTCTCGTTTTCGGCGTCGGCGCCGATGGCGATGAACTCGCAGCCTGGGCCCGCGCCAGCTGCTTCTTGAAGGCACCCTGGCGCTCGAACTCCCTCCTGTTGTACTTGCGGATGGCCTCCTCCTGCACCCCCCTCGCGGCAGGCGGCGGCGGCGCGCGGCGGAGCGGGCGCCGCGCCCTGAAGCCAGAGAGCACCACCTTCTTATTTAGCTCCTCGGCGCAGCTCTCGCACTTCCACTTTGGGGGGTTGCAGCCCTTCAGCTTCCACTCCTGGGTCGCGTCGACATGGCCCTTGAGGTTCGCGAAGGGGCTCCGCTTGGTCTGGTCATTGTTATCATGTTTATTGTTATTATTCTTCCCCTGGGCCCGCGCCTCTCCCGCGGCCGACGCGGGCGAGTCCGCGCGGCGCCGCGAGGTCTTCTTTATCACTGGCGGGGGGGTCTTCGGCGGCCGCTGGCCCCCCACCTTCGCTCGCCTCGGAGGCGATCTCAAGAGGCCCGCAGGCCTGCCCCCCTGCGCGCTCTGCTTGGGCCCCCGCCTCGGCTGCGCCCCCGCCTTCTGGGCCCAGAGTCTGATTGGCCTGGGGGACGACGACCTCGACCTCGGCAGTGTCGACGTCGGCCTTCGAGGTCCTCAAGAAGCCCCCGAACAGGCCCCCGGAACCCGCCCCCCCCCCCCCCCCCCCCCCCATGAAGAACCGAAGACGCGGAGGCATCAGGCCGCTGCCACGGCTCGCAGCAGCTGCGCCGCTCTGAATCGCGCTGCCGCGCGCCCCGCTCGGGCCAGAGCGGCCCGAGCCAAGGGTGGCCACGGAGGAGGGGGGGGGGGGAAGGAGGAGGAGAGGAGGAGGAGGAGGAGGAGGAGGAGGAGGAGGAGGAGGGGAGAGGAGAGAGGAGGAGGAGGAGGAGGAGGAGGAGGAGGAGGAGCGGATTTGGGCGCAACGAACTGGCGAACCTTCCCGCTCCGGCACTGCTGCTGCCGCTGGGCCTGGCGCCCTGCCAGACGACGCTGCCGGGCAACGGTCGCGACGACGGCCGCGAGAGGACGCCGCGACATGGCGCGCCGCGCTCCCCCGGACGGGCAGAGCAGCTACGTGCGCGATGTGTGCTTCCACTATACGGCCGCAGGTGATCCGCTGTCGCACAGGCATTGCGCCGCAGAGCCCCGTCGCCTGCTTGGGGCGCGCTCTTGTCTGCGCCCAGACCAGCAACGCTGCCCTGGAACTGGCCGACGACCTTCCTTTTGCACTCAAAAGAGAAGTTGAACACAAATGGGCTGCCGTCGTCACCGCGCCGGCGCCGCGTGCGCCAGCCGACGCGCAACTCCAACTCGACGCGGCCAGGCGCGGCAGCAGCGACGCCTGCGCCGAATGGGCGGACGCCATCGCGCCAGAAATGGTCCAACAACCAGCGCCCACGGCCGCCCATATACCGCCGCCCGCTCGCGGGGTGGTGGGCGCCATCGTAGCGGAGCACACGAAGGCTTTCGCCCGCGAGATCCACCGCGGCACCCCCGAGTCCATCACCAAGGCGGCCAAGCGTTGGTTCATGCTCCCTAAGCTGCTGTTCGGGCGCGCCAACCTCCGAGGCGGCAAGAGAGGCAACGCTCAGCTCACCACTGCGCAGTTCCGCCGGGCCATGGAGATCAGGGAGCACCGCGAAGCACAGCTCTGGGGCGCCGCCCTTGACTCCGCCCCGCCTCCTTTGCGCGCCAGGCGGAAGACTACCGCAGAGCACGACGTTATGGCGGCGCGCAAACTCGCGGAGGCAGGCGCCGTGGGCAAAGCTACGAGAGTCCTCCGCGAAGCATTCGAACTTGCTGGAAACCAGTTGACCCTTCAAGCCGCACCGCAGCTCTTCCCACACCATCAACCACAGCCACCAGCAGCCTACGACGAACAGGGCGACGAGCAGCAATAGTTCGAGCTACACTTCGCCAAAGCCTTGCGGGCCGCACCAAAACGAAGCGCAGCTGGGCCCGACGGGCGGCGGTACGAGCACTTCCAACTCGTCCAAACTGACCTGTCCGCTCTGTGTGCCCTGGCCACAGTGGCCGCAGCACTAGCTCGCGGCCCCCCCCCGCAGGAAGTGCAGGAACTGGCGACGGCCGCCCGCCTCCTCCCGCTCACCAAGAGCCCCGCCCGAATCCGCCCCATCAACCTCGCCAGCCCGCTCCGCCGCCTCGCGTCCAAGGCGGTCAACAAAATGGCGTCGGACGAGGTCGCCGAGGGGCTTCGCGGCAAGCAGTGCGGGTACAAGCACGCGGCTGGGGCGGAACTAATCCACAAGCGCGTGTCCACTGCCCTCCACGTCCGCCCGGACTACGCCGTGCTCTCTCTGGGCGCTGCAGACGCCTTCCAGAACCTCAGCAGGGTGTACATCAACGAAGGTCTCGATGCTCACTGCCCAAAACTCCGCCGATGGGCAAGAGGCTTCCTGCCGGACGCCGGGCAGGTTGTCTACCACGACACCGGGGGCAGAATACACATTTGGAACCAAACGACGGGTATCTTCCAAGGGTGCGGCATGGCCACCACGCTCTTCTGCCTCGGACTCGACCGAGCCCTCGAGAGGGCCAAACACCAACTCGACGCAGCAGGTATACAGCACGAGCTTTTCGGCTACATCGACGACCTCACCATCCTTGCGAAGCCTGAAGACTTGCCCACCATATGCAGCCTACACCTACGCACTGAGCCAAGCCGGCTTCCAAACACGCGTCGACAAACGTGAGGTGTGGGCGAGGAATCCTGCCGCGATACCAGCGGGCCCACCCGTGCCGCGAGTAGAGCAGCCCACGATCTTACGACAACACGCCGACGACTACTCCGGCCTGGCACCGACGCTGGTAACCGCCGACCAGCACGCCGAGGAGGGCAGCCTGCACTCACCCGCCTCGCCGCGACTACAAACGAACCAGGAGGGCGACTGCCATGGCCAGACTCATGGACCTTCACAAAGCCGGCCTAGACGTTCAGACGTCTTTGGTACTACTACGAACCCGCACTGCAGGAGACATGACGCGGCACATGCGCGTCGCCGGGGTCCCCGCCCACACGGCGACGCAGCTCGACGCCGACCTACTCAGCACACTGGAGGAGCTAGTACAAACGCACGACCTCACAGCGGAGCAGAAAGAGAAATACTGGCACCCTGTCGCTTTGGGCGGCTTGGGATTCCAGAGCGCGAATTCAGCGCGCCTGGATGCCCAGGCGGCCTCGTGGGCACTGCGAGAAGCCAGTGCTCCAGCGACTGGGCCTCCGCGACAGAGATGACCTTGTCCACTACTGCCCGGGCAAGAGACCGCGCCCCACCGCCACCAGAGCACTGTCGACGCGCTGACGCAGGAAGAGGCAGCACAGCAGGCGCCCGACACGGAGCCACCCGACACCACCCAACAACGCTTTACCAGGCACAGGCGGCGCGCAAAGTAAACGCAGCGGCTGCGACGCACCCAGACGGAACCGCATCGACGGGCCTGGGCTCTTAGCACGACAGGCGAGGGGGCAGGCGCGCGGCTCGGGCCGCCCACGCGGCCCGACCACCACCTCGCTGACGCCCACTTCAGGATGGCCGTGAGACACAGACTCGGAGGTCTCGTTTGCGCAGCTGACGGCCCCTGCCCCATCAGAAAGGAGGGCGGAACCCTCTGCGCCGGCACCGTCGACGCTAACGGACGCCACGCGCTTTGCTGCTCCTATATGGCGGCTTCATGGTTAAGAGGCACAACAACCTGCGCGACACCATCGCGCGAGCCCTACGTGAAGCCGCCGGCATTTGCGACATCGCAGTCGAGCCGTGGATTCGCCCGCCCACCGGGCCGGGCAATCCGGGTCTCCGCGCGGACCTCAGGTGCACCGACAGTGACGGCCAGTGGGCTTATCTTGATTTAACGATCGCGCATCCCGCCTCGCAGCAGAGCCTGCAGGCCGGAAGGGGCCCACGCCAAAGGCACCGCTGCGAGACTGGCCGAACAGGCCAAGCGCCGCAAATACAACGGAGTCGCTGGTTTTCAGCCCCTCGGCTTCGAAGTGTCGGGGGCCGCGGGCGAGTCCACCCGGAAATGGCTCGCGCAGCAAGTGCCTGAGGGCCCTGGGCGACTGGAGACTCTCAGCACTCTCCACCGGTCCATCGCCACCTGGCTGCGTGGTCCGGGAGGTGGCGCGCGCGCTCATCAGCGCTGCCTGAGATGGTCGTCGGGCCAGCCGGCGCGCCTAACGCAGGGGCCCGGTGGCTCGCGCCCCTGGGCCTGGAACCGGCGGCCTAGCGCGACGACGGCACCGGCGCGAGGACAGCGCCGCTGCGCGAGGACGCACGAGGACAGCACTAGGACAGCCCGAGGACAGCACAGGCACGTGGACAGCACGAGGACAGCGCGAGGACAGCGCTAGCACGAGGACAGCACTTGCGCGAGGAAAGCACTGGCACGAGGACAACTCTGGCACGAGGAGGGGAAGGGGCGCCGAGGAGGCGCGCAGAGGAGGAGAGGCGAGGCCCAGGAGGAGGAACGCCGAGGAGGAGCGCCGAGGAGGAGCGGCGGAAGCGGGTGGCGGAGGCGGCGGCCGGGGGCGGCGGCGGGGTGGCACCGGCGGCGGCGGCGGTCCTGCTGAGGGCCTGGCCCGCGGCGGCAGGCGCGGCGCGCTCGCTCCGGGGCCCTCCTCGGGCCCGAGGGCCCCAGGGCGCGAGGAGGAGGAGGAGGAGGGATAGGAGGACGAGGAGGAGGAGGCGGAGGAGGAGGAGGAGGAGGAGGGGGAGGAGGAGGAGGAGGAGGAGGAGGAGGAGGGAGGAGGAGGAACGAAGACAGGACAGGACAGGACAGGACATCCGCTCGAGGGGGCCAACGTCGCAACGCCCGCAAAGGAGCTGCGGGGCACGCCTTGCAGAATCCCCTGCGAGCGAAGTTTGCCGCAGATCCCTGATTTCTCATGAGGCCGGCAGGGGGCGTGCCCCGCAGCTCTAGGGGCGACCTCCGAGGTGGCAGGCAGGGGGATAGAGACGACGCGACCACTCCTCGACACAGGGGAGGCAAAGGGAGGGGGGGAATGCTGGAGGCCGCTTCGTGCCAAACTTATGCTGGGGGGATGTAATCTTCTACCAAAATCCGGATTGGCCCACTCTACTATCAGAGCCGCTTCCTCCCTGGATCCACATCGCTTCCTGGCCGTGCTGGTCGGTGGCCGAACCATGCAACGCAGTGCCCGATGCAAGTCCTGTGCTGCAATGCACTGCGCCCAGATCCTCTGCAATTATCAAGGCGCGCCCCTGAAATGCCCCCATCCAGTCGGCGCGCATGTAGGGGCGATCAATGCCCTTAATGCCGCGGCGTGCGAGAGACTCTCTAGTGGTCTCTGCGGGGCCCTCGTTGTCCACTCGTCGTCGAAGTGGTGTTGTATCCATCTGAAATTGCACCTGCCGGCGCTCCACGAAACGACGCCTACGTCAGTGCAGGCTCCGCTGGCCTGCACTCCAGTATGCCCTCGCCAGTGCAGCCGCAAGTGTGAGCGGGCGCTCTCACGCGCGGCCGCTGGAGCTAGCCGCTCCATCTGAAACGGCAAACTGCTCGGAGATCTCGGTGCCGTCAAGCAGGGTGCCCGTGCTCTCGCGCCGTTCCTGGCGACGCTCGAGCCTCTCGACCTCCTTCTCCTCGAGCTTCTCGATGGTCGTCAGTTCCCTCTCGGGTGCCCCCAGGGCGCCCTGCGTCTTCTTCAGGTCGTTCTTCGCGGTCCGCATCGTAAGCTCGCGCCAGCTTCGCGACGAGAAATACTTCCTCCCTGCTGTTTGCCACGCGTCCACTGGGCAGTTGCAATTTTTTCGCGGCCCTCTTCGTGGTGCATCATCGGGAAGACGGGCGGGGCCATCTCCTGCAGGACATCTGGGCTCAACTTCTGGGAAGCATCGAAGAACCTGTGGTGGTGCTCTCTGATGGCGTCGTCAATCTTCTGCGGCAGCCTCTCGGCTGCAAATGCCCCCCGCTTGCCATTCCTGAGAAGCTCCGCCGCCATCGACGGGCCGTTGCGGCGCGGGCGGGGTCGCGACATGCATCCGATCTCGGGCCACTTCGCGTGGCCCTCGGTGAAGTTGCTCTTCATCTTGCCCGCTCATTCTTTCATGGGCTGGTCCTCGGGGAAGCTCTGCCGGGCAGTCGTCGGCGCGTTCCAATCCACGCTGCGACACAACATCCACTGCTCTGACCGCGAGTTAGCGCTGGGGCCCCATCCACCACAGCTCGCGTGGGAAGGATAGCCCGCGCGCGCAGGCGCAGTCCTTGTCCTTGCCCCAGCCTCCTGCGCGGCCCCTGCACGCACTGTACAACTGCATGGTGCCACTCCACTTGTCCACAAAGTCAGGCGCCTTCAGGTACTGGGTCTGCTGCGCACCCATGCTCTTGCAGGTCTTGTAGTTGCCCTGTTCAAGCAGCTCCTTCTCCATCTCTTCCAGCGCTTGCTCGGCTTCCTCCAATGCCCCCCCCCCCCCCCCGTCCTCCATGCCCATGAGCATGCGCTCGCGCGGCATGGCGTCCTGCTCCTCCGCGCATTGCAGGACAACCAACATATTCTCCCCGTCTTTGCTGAATGCCGCGAAGATGCCCCCGTTCTTCTTGATGTCGTCCACCAAGGCCTTCGACGCCTCCCAGGAACGCCCGAGGGCCTGCTTGTTTCTCTGGTTCCGCGACTTCTTCCGCTCCGCGTCGGTCATCGCCTTCGCTGCCTTCGTTTGCCATACGGATTGAGCAGCCCGCGTTAGGCCACTTGCGCGCTGCTTCAGGTCGCGGCTCACATTCCCTTGTGTGATGTACATCCCCCCGCCATGGAGAAGCTTCTCCTCGCCGCTCCACTCGGTCCATCCCTCGCGCCTAAGGACCAATTCGCGATTGACGCACGCCCCCTTTTCCTCCTTGGTCTTGTTCACGTCCGGGCTCCTTCTTGGCGCGCCCCCCGTGACTCTCCATCGTCACGTCATGCCCGAGCAGCTCGCAGCTTCGGCCGCGCGGCCAGAGCTTGTCGCAGCTGGTAAAGGTCACGAGCAGCCCTCTGCGTCCTGCGACCCGAGATGCCCTCGCTAGCGCAAGTTCGCACCAAGGCTGTGGTTGAGCCAGATGGGCTGTGGGAGCTGATGGCAAGCGACGGGGGCGTGTCTCCTTCCTGAAATCCCGCGTCGTGTACAATAGCCCCCAAGGGTACCTCGTAATACTCTGGACCCGGCGCCCGCTCCTGAACCCCCATTGCCCGTAACTCACCGCTACATTGTTGTCTGTTTGACGCCCGCGTAGTACGCAGAGACCCCGAACACGCCGCATCGCCACAACTGTACATGGCCACGAAGGGAGGATGTGGGCTAGTAGGGGAAAGATGGGAGGTGTCGTGTCGTCACAGTGTAAGGCGTAGGCAACAACCGGTTGGGATGGGGGGGAAGACTGGCTGTTGCCTGGGAGACCACTCCCCCGGGCTTTCCTTGGCAACTCTGCTTTCCGTTCCGCTCTAGACTTGAGGGCCAATTGGTAGCGCCTGCCGTTCGGGGAAACGTGCCTAAGTCCGGCGAGGCGCTCAACATCCATGCTGATTGACTCGGCGATCTTTTCCTCGTCGGAAATATGCCGCCCCGCTTGTCCGCTACTGGGCACTCCTGAAAGGCTCGCCAGCGGTGGGGAAACCTCCAGAGGGGC